TGAGTTCTCTCATTTTCAGCTATGCTGTTCAATCTGACAGCATTGTGTTTCTTTGGGCTCTTTGGCAATAGGTGGGCAAAAGCCGTGGTGAAGTTAATAGTGTAAAGCATTCCTGACATCTTTATTAGAGATGAAAAATAGCCTACTAAAAAGAAAACTATTGAAGATTTCATTGATTTAGTGGACTCACAGCAGAGCGACATGAGAAGATTGTTTTGGGTAGGGAAGAGCCATCAGCTGGAATGAGGGGGAAAAATGAGGAAAAGATGAGAAAATACTTTCAGAGAGAAATTCTATTCATAATCATCAAAACGTGAAGATTGCTTTCAGATAAGTTCATTGTTATTTTTAATTTTTTTTTTTTAAAGTGCACTAATCAGGTAAGTTTCAAGTTGTATCAGAAATGTAACTCAGAGAATATTTCTAGTGGCCGTGATTAAAACTGAAAATCAAGGAAGCTTGCAGGAATTACATTGCTGGGTTTTTTTCTCTTACTTGTTTAGCGCACTGTTCCAAAGCTGATTAGATTTATCTTGGAAATACAAAATTTCTGAGTTGTGAGTTAAAAAGTAACAGGAACAGAAGATTGACGTGTTAAAACAAGAGCAAGTTATAAGAAATGCATTTTCACTTGAAAAAAATGAAAATTTTGGACAAATGAAAAGCCTGCAAGTGAGAAAACCTATGAGCAGACTTGGAATTGAGGGGGGAAAAAAATGCTGCAACACTAGAAGACACAGCTCTTGAACAAGAAGTCAGCAACAAAAATAATAAACATTTGTGAGGTTTTTTTTTTTACTTTGGAGCAATACTGCATTTTCTTAAGTACAAGATAAAATGAGATGGTAACTTCTGGTGTGTGACTCAGGAATCTTAATGCCTTACACAACTAGATGTTTATTTATGTAAGGGAATGGTCCTCTCAGGCACTGACTGTATGAGTTAATGCAGATACTTCAGCAGTGCAGCCATTCCACTGGAAAGTGAGACTCCCTCTAGATCTCACAAACTGTAATGTTTGGAGAGTACTCTTCTTACGTGCTCATGACTGACTACTAGTAGTTAATCCAATGATCAGAAGCCCTTGCTCTAAAACTGGGACTTGGTCTTGCCTTAAATTAATATTTCAGGTGGGCAAATTTGGCATTTTACATTAATTGTATTTGACTTTTTTCCTTAGTGAAAAAAATAAAAGGCACGTGTAATTAATGTTGACATAAAGACCAAGTGTCTGTGCTTAATGTAACATTGTATGTACCTAAACTGATCATCAGGTTCTCATTCTGCTGCAGATGGTTAGGAAGAACAAATTGGGATTACAATAAAAACAATTTCAAGTTCTTTGTTTTCACTTGAGTATTTGGCTTAGTAAGCATTAAATACAAGAGTTTTCACAATCATAGATGGTAACTTGATTGCCTATTGAAAACTTCCATTTTGTCATTGCAGGCTCACTTTCAGTTTGCTTTTTGGTGTGCATCGTACCCCTGAATCACTGAACAGCTGTAGAAATTGAGCCTTATCCCCTCCTTTCTTCTGCATTTCTTCCATTAAGTTCCACAAAGTTTCAGTATTCTCTTCTACTCCATCATGTTGTATCAGTTACCCGGTTACCTGTATTTATACTGCACCCACAGTGTGCATACATGTATGCAGTCTGTCTAATAAAGAATAAGAATGGTAGGAAGAATGCAGGACAGATCCTCTTGCTTTATGTTTAAACACGTTTCCAGCTAATGCAAAGCATATTCTTTCTTAATTCATTAACCAGGCTTCCTGTTTTGCTTGAATATAGATCCCCCACTACTCTTCAAAAATCACAGTAAGAATTTCACTTGGCTGCATTTACAGTCTGACCTAACAATAAAGATGATGGCATGACAAGAGAATTGAAGTTGTCGTATGGGTTGTTGTTCATTAATAAATGTGTATTAACTCTATTCGTGGTTTTCTTTTAGTGCTTGAATTTAAACTGCATAAAAAATCAACTGTTGTACTCTACAGCAAACATCAGCAAATCAGTCTGAATGCTTCACTAGGAACGCTTCTAAAAAAGCTTTGAAGTAACTGCTCTCACAGTCTCCTAAAACTCTTAAAAAGCAGCAGATGCACAGACAATATAAAGGAGCTACCAGCATTATCCAAAATCCAGTTGTTACTGATGTGCCTGAGCACAGAAAGGATTGGGTAAATGTTCCTCAGCTCTTTTGCAGACTGTAATGCTCTACCAAAACCCTGGTCCTGCGTGTTTTGTCCCTGCTCAAGTCAAGGGATGCCTTTATCAGCTGAAGAAAGAACAAAGAGTTTTTAGGAGTTTGTTCCTATTAAAGTTGTTTGGAATGCAACTACATTGAGGATTAACACATAAATGCAAAAGAATGTGGTTTGCTTCTTGAAAGCCAAAGCAGATGTGTGGAAGCTTGGGGAAATAGTACGCTCAATTCCAAACAGAACGCACAAATCTCTTGCCTGCTTGTGATTCAAGAGGGAATCCTGACTTGTCCACTATTTGTTGGAAGCCAAGGACCTGTTTGGCTTGCCCCTGCTGGGCTGGCTGCTGTCAGCGAGTAGCTCGTTGGGCCCTGCTCACGGCTCTGATGTGCAGCCAGCTCAGCCCTTCCATAGCAGGCTTTGCTTGCAGTGCAATTTTTCCGGTGTGCAACCAGCACAGTTATCTCTGTTATCTGTTAAATGACACAACAGCACTATAAATAACCCTTCTTGTAATCTGATTGCTTGTTAAATGGTTTGTAGAAATCAACAAATCATGTTTGGATTTCAGGCTCAAGGAAACGAATGAGGCAATTTGCATCTCATTATTATTTCAGGCTCTTGCCTCAGAGCTGCTCATATGGGTTTGCACTAGTTCAGCTAAGCCAAAGCAAGCCAAAGCACATTGATATAACTGGAGTCCACAGTTTAAATATTTTCTTTGTTAATGTAAGAAGTAGATGTAAATCACCAGCACCACGGAGCAGTTCTGGGGCACTTCTGAGTAGCTGCATTAGAACCTTGAGCCAGGAGACTACCAGGATGTCTCAGCTATGAACAACCTTCCAGTTCCCAAAAGCATCAAGGGAATGATTTCTTTCCAAATAATGAAGATAATGAAACAACTAGTATTTTTATTTAAGTAAGTGAAGCAGTATAAATGTTCAGATTGCAAAATGTGACAGAGAAAACAGCTATTGAGAAAGCTGTGGGAGAGTAGATGTCACTTCCTTGGAGACCTAATTTCTGTGTAATTACTTCAGATAAATAAAAACTGTAAATTCTTGCAGAATCAAACAGTAACAATAGCCATCTTTTAGAGCTTTTAATTCTGTTTGTTCTCTTCAAGGCTAAAGATGCTATGCTTCTTATGTGTGTTGTAATACTTGCCTCCTTTACTCATTTTTACTATGCTACTGTTATTTAATTGGCTGATTCCAAATTTCCTGAGATGTTAAGATCTGTGGCAGAATGGCAATTTATCATTTCAGTCACAGTGTCTTCTCTATAACAGAATCAAAGTTTTGCCAAACTGAAAAACAAGAATCACTTTCATAATCTGATACTGCATGAAAAAAACAAGCAGGGCTCACAATAAAAACATTCAGTAATCGTCTGATACGAAGGATATTCAATCATGTAAAACTTTAAATTGTTCTTAAAGTAACAAAGAAGACATTAAGATAAAGGGGAAATGAAGACTGATAAATTTCCTCTGCCAAAACTCTGACTACATTAGACAGGATTAAAAATCCCTAGTGGGAAGCCTTTTTGTTGTTCTTCCAGTAGCTCAGTGATGATGTAGGATTCCTTTGTGATATATGGTCTTGGCACAAATTGCTCCCAAAGGCAAAAAATGCCAATTCATTCCTTACATGGAATAATATAAATTCACTTCTATTGTTTCTAATCCTCACTAGGAGCTCATTTCTGGTGCATTTTTTAAATTCTTAAGCTAAAATTAAGTTCTATGTAAATCTAATGCCACATAATTTTGTTTGGTTTAATTGTGCATTTTAAGTATGATTGCTACTCTTAACTAAGGACCACTACCATTTTACAATAGCTAAGTGATACAGAAAAGGATGGCTTTGGTATCTGATACTTAAACACCAATGATGGGACATTAACAACATCTCAGGTCATCATTTTATGAAAAAAACAGCAATTTCTTATTCTTTTTTCATCTTTCATGACATTCCTCGAGTTGATTTCATCCTGGAGAGTTACCTCCTCAGTCTTTTGAGAAGAAAGTATTTTGCACCTCTGATTATTTTTTTTTTTCTCCTTCTCAGTACTCACAAAAAGGGGATGCCATAAAAGTGCTCTGTATTATAGTTCTCTTTTTTTTTTCCTAGGCATTCTTGATGTTCTACTTGTCTTTTGGATGTCATAGAGCACTGATCTGCTGTTCACAGAAAACTAGGCAAAACGACTCCCAAAGCTCAGTGCTGAGAAAGTCAGGGTGATTTTAAACCAACCATGTGATGCAGTTAGAACTGTCCCCTGTGTATTGTGCTACTGATCACAAGGAAGATCATTGCTCAGCCTTACAGTAGCAAGGACTTTTTCTAGTTGTTCTCCATACACAAACATGCTTATGTTTTCCTTTGCCAGATTATGTTAGCATGTTGACCCAAAGCCCTCTCAAGCCTTCTAGATTTTAAACTGCCCTTAAAAGCTGCCTCACTATTTCTTGAGAACCTCATTTTCTTAAAAGCCTTCTCAAAACAAACAAACAAACAAACAAACAAACAAACAAAAACCCTATACTCAGTAAAACATGATCAGTGAAAACTAAATATGACGAACTATATAAAGTAGTAGCACAGTATGGAGTTGTATGGGAACTGCTGAATCAGGGCCTGAACCTCTGATTGATCACCTGAGGTGAGCAATGAGTCAGGCAGAGGAGCACAGGTGAAGGCAATTCAACAATTCACCTGTGCTGCTCCTAGACCTATTTAAGAGCTGGCTACCAGTAGGGAAGGATCTCTTGTAGAGGTCTGCTCTGCTGGAGTTTTGTGAGTGAGCCCAGGATAGGGGTAAGCCTTCTATTTATTCACCTTTTGTTATTGTAATCTGCTTTGTCAAACTCTCTTGTTTATTTCATAATTATAACATTTTAATATTCATTGATTGTACAGGAGTAGATCCCTTTGTTCACACACATCTATTCTTTCAGAATCTGATAGCCTTGTAAGACATTGACATCCTTCTGTGAAAGCTCTAATGATTTTTCACAATAAGGAGGTATCACAAAGAACTATTATTCATAATATCATGGGTATATTTGAAATTATTTTAGTCTCTACAGATTCACCAGTTCTGGAGACAGTTCCTCAAATGAAGTACAGTTAGGAAAACAAGATGCTTCATATAAGCCAAGCACATGAGTAGAAGCAGCTTACTAGCTCCAAGGACCTGCTGCAATGCTTGCATCAGAAGTTGGATTTTTCTTCACTCTCCCAAGCAAAGTTCCTGGCAGCAATGCCATATAAGCAAATCAGCTATGGGGACAAACAATCAACAGCAGTTCAGTCATGAAAGTCAAGTCAAAGAAGCTTGTGTTCCCAAATCAACACTGTTCTTAGAGGCACCAGAACAGCACCTGATCTAGCTGTGCCTTCAACCATCCCCTTTGTCCTTGCCCCACGGTCTCCTGTCCCAGGTATGTGCTCTACTTACATTTCCAACCACAGCCCTGCCCATCTGTTAGCTCTGGGGGCTCAGCATGCTCCTTATCTCTTTCTCCACTATAGTGGAAATGCAAGTCATAGCTTGAAGCAGTGATTGAGCACCTGGTGGGAAAGCAAGGCCAACCCAGGGGAACTCAGATGCATGCAATACACCTGAGGTACCAGAAGGGAAGCAGCCAGGATCCACCCCTTCCCAGACCACGTTTAAGGGCTGGCAGTGGAGGCAAGGGTACTTTGTTGGAGATCCCTGCCTACCTGAGGCCTTCCAAGGGTTAAATAAATAAATAAAAATTCCCCCCTTTGTTTCTGTGACTGTTGTATTTGGACTTGTCCTCACTCGCTGTAGCCTAGGACTTTGCTACCCTACTATTACTGCTGTGCTTTCTGTGGCATTATAATGCTACATCCTCTCAGAAAGTAATAGGATAAGTTCAAAATATTATTTTTGTCATAGACTTATAAATACTTGACTGGTCAACTTTCATCTTTCCATTTTCAGTTTTAAAAAAAGAATTGCAGTCCAGTTAGCTCACCCAAAGTTAAAATAAATCCGTGTTTTAATAGGAATATGATTTCTTTTCAATCTATAATTCCTTTACAAAATGCAACTTTTTAAAACTGTATATAAAATTAGTGAAATTATTTAAAACAACTGATAGAAATTTCCCCAAAGAAGAAAATACACTGTTCTATTCTCAATCCTTTTCTATTCATAGTTCCATGCAGTAGATTGAGGTTCACATAAGGCTATTCCCTTTACATGCATTGCAGCTGAAGGCTGTATTTTCTTTCTTGATGTTACTAATCAGATAAGTAATGCTCTGTTTCTCCCCAAGCTGCAGACTTCATGAAGCTGTGATATCTCTGAACACACAGCTACACTCCTTAATCTCCAAACCAAGTAAGTTCTGCTTTCCAGGTACCAATTGTTAATGGGAATCAGTGTTCATCAGATATTGTAAACTTTCTGAAACATCTTCCTGCCAGTACAGAACATACACTACAAGAGAGCACTATTAAAAGTTTTAGCACTATATAAACAATACTTGATCAACTATTTTTCTCCTGGAGGCTTCCTCTAGACAAATACATTTTGTGGAAGTAACTGATTACCTTAAATCTTTCTCTGTTGTTTTTGTTTTTAATAGGTAGCCCTTAAGTTCAGTGTACTCATCTTTCTCTTTGTTAAAATAAATTCTTTAACCAATTTGCATGGAAACTACCAGTAATAGCAGTTAACATAGGATAGCTAATGAGGTTGTGCATAATTGCTACAAAATAGCTGTACTGATAACTTCTCACAGTACTCTACTTATCATCAGGAACTTATCTGCTCAAGTAGAAAAATGTGGAGGGTCTGACATAAAAGCACAGTAGGTTTTGTCCAGCCCTTCCTGTCATTCTTTTATTTAGCATAGGATAACCAGTATGCATTTAAGTGTTTCTGCATCATGCACTGTAACTACTAACATTCCAGACATCTGCTTATTATACAGATTTTTACTATCAGCTTACAAGACACTCTTGCACTCTGAAAAAGTTCAGCTAAGTCTTCTAAACAACTCAATTTAAATATTCAGTATCTGATTGCATTCCTAGGATGCACACTCACCCATCAGAAAAACACCAACAGACCTGGAATTCAAAGCACAGTGAAAGCTAGTTGGCTCCCATTTCATCAAACTAACTATCATGGTACATAAATGTGTTGTGAATCTTCCCTGTTGTCTTCTATTTCTTGCTTTTTGGAGAGCCACTTAACTTAGAATTTCTGTTGTTATGAACTTCTGAAGTTATACTTCAGAAATATTGCAATGCTGTTAAAATGGAGCCTTGTTACTCAGCTTCAGCCTTGACTAGATTTGTTCATCCTGCAATGCTGGAGAAGCTCTATTTTCACAAAATTAAATAATAACTCTACCAAAGATTATAGCCTTGTTAATTCTCAAACCAAGGAGTGTTATGTGGAACTTGGCAAGCTTAGAGAATTATTTGGCTGTATTCTTTAAGGTACAAAAAAAAAAAAAAAAAAAAAAAAAACTTTTGAACACCTTTAAAAACAATGTTCCCAAAATCTTTGCTTGTTTTGATTTGAAAAGCACAAGTTTGGTGCTAATGCAGCTTAGATTTGTAAAAGGCCTTTTCTCACAACTGTAGCACAGTAAGTCACTAACCTAGGCTAACACTATTAGCTCCTCAGAATATTATTGCCTCAATAGGCAATACAGTATGGAAGTAAATTTAGAGAAAAAGACATCCATGCTTTGTGTAACAGTAGACTTATTACAACAGAGTAATAGGAAGCCTAAACAGTGTTACACTTAAAGCAGCTGTTACTGCTCAGCTGTTTTCACCCATGCAGTAACCCCCAGGAGACACCAGTGACCACAGGAGCAACCCCTGAGAGTCTGCCATGAAATGTTGTCTGCCACAAGGGCCTCAGGTAACCCAAGTGTGAGTTGGTGCTGCCTGTTACTGTTATCTTGATAGCCAACATCATTTAGAAGGCTAGTAAATCTGGAATGTCTTCTGTTTGTTATAACCTATTAGTAGTTAACTTCTACTTTTACAGCCTATATATCCTGACTGCAGAGTCACTTTTTGTCCAGATAGAAATGGCCAAAGCAGATGGATCAAAATGGGTACAAACTAGAGGCACAGTGAGCTGTAGGCATAACATAAAAAGAAAAAAAGCCCGAAACCACAGAAGACAGGCTTCACTAACTGACCATGAAGCCCAAACTTCTCAGTAGGTGCACTTTTGGTTTCCAAGTAAATATATCACTGTTTGGTGAAAAGTCTGCTCTTGATTTTCTGAGATACTTCATGAAAGTTTGTATGTCATGCTGTTTATTTACAGAATGCACGCTCTGGTAGGTGTTGAGGAGAAAACCTGTCTTGGATTGTGTGTGAACCATGAACAGTTCCAAAATATTTTATTTTTTGGTCTACAAAGAATGTGGCATCCCTTTGATACCCTCAGTAAAGTGTTTTGTTGATGCTTTTTAAAATATGATGCCTATCAAAAGTTGGTTTGGCACAGTAATTGCTGTGTGATCATACCCTAATGAACTTCCATAGCTTACTTACCTTCAGACCACTCTGTAAACAGTCAGCTCAGGGTCTGAATGGCTGCTTAACTGCAAACTTTCCAGCCTATGTCACTTTCCTAGCTACACAAAGTACTACCAGCATCTAAGTATCAAAGACAAACTTTATTTCTCAGCACTAAGATCTAAATTGCACCGAAGGTAGAGAGAAACCAATAATATGCAGAAAACAGACAAAATACTAAAAATTGCATGACAAGAAACTGTTATTCACTATGTAATTCACTAATGTCAACTATATTAACACTACAGAACTACTTCAGACAAACAGATTTACACTGAACTACTTATTTCTTATCTATGCAATAAAGACTTGAAAGAAGCTGATCAATAAAACTTTTGTCATCTTCACTACATCTTTAAACTGGACAAAGGGACACATCACTTAAATCTGACTGCAGTTTGCTTTCAACATGGACTGCTGTAAAATTTGTGCATCAAAACTGATTCCTGGCAAATTCAAAATACTTTACTGGCTAAATATGAGGTATTTTTTCCTTCCAGCAATCAAAAATTTTGTCTAAGAACAATTGCAAGATAAGTACAATTCTGATTGAGTTTTCTAATCTTCTTGAAAAACAGACACCACCTAAGTACCTGGTTAAAAGGGCAGCAGCCAAGGTCTGGGCTGGAAGAGGGAGCAGGTCACACAGCAGAAGTTCCAGGACCCACTATAAGAGTAAGTCAAATACAGACACCTGTGATATCCTTCATTATTCCCTTCACATAGCTGCAAGATTTCTCTGTATTTGAGACAAAATTATTTTAAAAGTTAGTTGGTAAATATACAGGAGAAAATATTCTCACAGCACGCAGGATATCTGAAAGAGTGAAAAGGCTGAAAAAGTAAAGATCTCTTGTATTTGGCTTTAATGTTCAGCAAGCGTGGGCTCTGACAAACAGTGAAGGCAAATCCCATTGCAGCCATCAAAGCCTGTATTGCACTACTCAGGTAATTACTAGCAATTGGCCATCCTCAATTAAATGTGTTTTGGGGTCTATTTGAAACAGGTGGGAATACTGGCCTATGTAAGCAAACGTTAATTTGAGAGAAAATCTTCAAAGGCATTTCATCAGCACAGTTGGCTGAGGCTTTAATGAAGCCCATGACTGCTGGTCAATTCAAGGTGTCATTCAATCACAGTTAGCTGTGTCTGGCACTTTCCCTTCATGTTGTTACTAGCAAGATATATCTCAGAAAGATTTTTTGCTTTTTTTTCCCCTTTCCTTGGGGGCTTCATTTCCAGCTGGAGCAGCAAACTGATCAAGCTGACCACGTTGCTCAGGATCTCTCCAGCTGGCACAAGAGAAGCACTGCTGATTTTTGAAAGCCATCCCTATTGTGTAACCCTGAGCCAAAAAGTGTTTTCTACCAGTTGCTGAGCACTTGCCGCTCTTGGTGTAAAATGTTCAAACAGCAAAGTTGATTAAAACTGGGAATTTGTTCTAATGTCTTCTTTCAAAACAATCCTTACTGTTGTAATGTTCATTTAAATCTCTGCTTTTGTGTAGTTAAGTGGGTTCTGCTAGGATGTTCCTTACAGACTGTAGCAATAAGCTTTAGAGCAAGAAAGGGACCATTATCGACATTCTTCTGGAAATTCCTATGTCATAATGGCTAGAGAGACTCAATCCAATTATTTCCACATCAGACTTCTGCCCTGAGCTGCAGCTGGACCCTTAAGGAACTCAAATGGCAGGATTTCAAGGAGGCCTCTGCCCTCCCCTCTTCCAGGCAGCCAAGCTATTTGCAAACACTTTCACACATTCTCCTGCCTGTGAGAAATGTAGGACAGATTACCACAAGCAGAACGTGTGAAAACGTTTTTGGAGAGCCCAGCTGCTGGCCTCTTTTTCGTAGACAAAGAGTGGGAGTTCATTTAACCACTCCCCTGTTTTTCAGCCTGTAATCCCACTTTTCCTCACACGGATCTTTCCCCTGTTTGGGGTGAAAACATTGCATGGCTCATGTCCCCCACCCCACCACGTGGTTCTTTCATTTCTCACCCCCATGTCTTCCCAGGATAGCATCGCTCATGTAGCACGCTCACTGAGGCTCTGGCCGAACCGTGATATGAGATGTACTACCCGCTTCCAGCTCTGTCTGCTTTTAGAATCTTAACGATTGAATGCATCTTGAAATATCAGTGTTATCTGTAGTTACTTGATTATTAAGTAAAGAAGTTAGAAATAGAACAGAATTGTGTTTTCATGCTTGTAGTCAATACAAGTTAATTCCAATTGAGTGGATGTGAGGTGTTCTTAAGGCTGATACAGCAAAATGAGAAATTCCTCAGAAATGAGGGTCTATGAAAAATAAATTTGATATGGAAAATAAAATGAAATCATTTTAAATGTGAAAGCTGTCTGTGTGAGACTAAGATACTGAAGGAACTGAACCTTCTTCTTCCTTTCATTTCCATTTTGCTTCTCATTCTTTGCAAGTATGATGCCTACAATATTGAAAGCAAACAAAGCATTTGAGAATTTTGCTCGATTTCTCCCAATGCAACCACACAGCATACTGATGCTTTGAGGAAGTAATCTCTTCCCTATGTTCTCCAATTATTGTGACTACTTAATTGCACATAAACTGCAAAAGATGATATCTAAATGTCTTGATCAATGTGATTCCATTACTTATTAGTCCTACCTACCATTTCCTGCAATTACCAAAATATAATAGGAATTTCTAAGCATTCTTTGCCACTGTGCCTATCAGTATGATAAAGCAGAGTTAGGAGCAAAGGTTATAATACAAAAGAGTGTCAAATAACCACCTTGTGTAGCACCATGTGAGGAAAAATGGTGGGAGAGAGATACAAAAACAGAGAAGCTTTCCGTTATCAGTAAGGCATTTTCATAAGCATAAAAGCTCACATTGAAGTCTGTGGGAAATATATGAAAAGACAGATGAGATCAATTTTTGTAGAGAGGATTTTTAGAAAAGTGTTTGACAATGACGAACCACAGCAACTGGCCCCTGAAAAATGCATACAGGAAATGTTGATAGTGGCCAACTGAGTTCCAAGACTTCAGATTCGGAGAAACAGATTATATAGAGAGTCTGTGATGAAATTCAATCACTATGTCAGCACTAATTTCCCTTACCCTTGTATGCACTGTGTGGTATTTCTGGCGATTGCCAATGTAGCACTAAATTTTCAGTTTTTCTGTGAAACCAGAACAGAATTAGAACAAAAAATTACTTCAACATGACCAGTTTTTCACCAAACGTCTGCTGAAGAGGGAGTCAATTTCCTTTCTTGTCGTTTAAAAGCCCAATTACAGTATTGTACGTTTTATCGTGTGATTACGAATTAAACACAATGCATCAAATGAACATACAGAAAATCCTATCTTCCTTTTCATAGCAGGCTATGATGGTCCACGGATATCCAAAACTTAATGATCTGCTGAGCATGGATGATAATTGGACTGACATTACTTCTAAACCAAAGGTTAGACCAATATCAGAGGATAGGTATGTAAATATAAGCTACCATTGAAAATGTTTACACGAAACTAACTGCATTTCATATATTCATTTTTAAACACAAGAGAATTCTTGTTTCCTAAATAACTTTGGTAATTTCTCACAGATTCCAAAAACAGAGACTTTGAAAAGAGATTTCGGAGGTCTGCAGATCTCTTCATTTAATCTTTATTTTAGAATTAGATCCAACTTACTTGGTGTCTTAGGTAATGCTCCAAATGTTGGGTTTGCTAACAAAAATGTCTATAATAAAAGGAAAAAGTCAGAATGTTTATTCACTTTCTTCTTTGTGTTTTAGGCCCCGTGGTTTCCTGTAACCGGCTACTGACATGGGCTGGAGGACCAGATCATTTTCTCCTATGGGATGCACCCACCATGGCAAACTTTAGAGTGGGTGCCCTTCACCCATTACCCAAAATGCTGTCTTCAAGCCTCTTATTAGCCGTGATCCCCAGGGGGAACCTCAAGGGGCAATGTGTGGAAGCAGGCTCACTCACCACATAAACAGAATACAATTTTCTTTTATGTTAGCCTGCAGATTGCAAGCCACCTCTATAAAGAGCTCTCTGTCTTCCTCACTTTGGCAGGATTCCTTGTCTCTCTGCACCAAAGCTGTATTCATATCAGTGTGTGGTCACTGTAAGAACAGTGCCTGCCTTTTTAGAATAGACAAAGGGAGTTAGCATACCAGATGCTGGCGCCCTGCTCAGGCTGTGCAGTGCTCTGCCCCACCAGCAGCCCCAGGGAATACCCAACCTAAGCACACATGAGCATGACAACAGGGTCTAGTGGCCAGTCTTTGAATTCATGAATTCTCTCTACAGCTCATGTTCTTTCAAATGAACGAATGCAGCAATTAATACACAATGATCAAATCGTTATAACAGTGATGGTGACGAGTGAGAAGAATGCTGATCTTGGAAAACAGCAGGCTACAGGGAAATTTGCAGTTCAGTATTAACTCCAGAGTCTGAACTCTGTAACTTATGCCCACCGTGTATTCTTTCCATTTACGTTTAAGGACTAGCCCCTGGGTGACAAGCATGATCCCAAGAGACAAAGGAAGAGCTGTAAGAACAAAAAGAACAGATGTACAGTATTAGACAGAATTTGTTACTCGCTTGTTAACTTTCATATGTTAAACACTTGTTTTATGTGATTATAATGCTGAATATATTACTCATCTTTTAAAAACTAATTTAGTGTGCTGTTTAAATTACCTGCTACACCTGCTTGTTCAGATTACTATCTCTTTGAGGTGAGGATGTGTTCATGCTCTGCCAGACAGATTCTGTGGCACCTGGAACAAATGCATTATATTCAATTTTCTCCTTTCAGAAAATATATAATTTAGAGACAACCTGACACTGGACTAAAAAGGCACTGAACCCTTGAGTATCTAACCTTTAAGATGTTCTAAAATCTAAAGAATTACACAATCTCAAGCTATACAACCACGCCTCCCTTTCATTCAATTGCACAGGAATGTGATAAAGAACTCCTAATGTTGTGTTAATAATTGGCTTCATGAACACTGCCAACTCTATTATTATTCAAGCTCACATTAAGCAAGAGTTTAATTCTACCACCTTTACCTGTAATGATTATGCTATAAAATAATCCAATCCAATCCAATAATCTTATATACTACTCAGCTCAAACTAGGGTGACAGTCAACTCAGTAACATTTTGACAAGAAATGATGCATTGCAATAAATGGCATGGCATTATGCAGCCAATTTTCACAATGACATCAGGAAATCACTCTTGGTGTGTTAAGAAAAAGTTTGGATCACTCATCTCTGCACCAGAAACTTTCTTTTTTACATTCTCCATAGGCCCTTGCAATTTCTCCAGCACTGTGAGCTTGTGAAATGGGACAACAGAGCATTGGCTGAAAGTATAAACCTGAGTTGGGTTTTTGAATTTAACCTCACAGGAGGAAATAAGTAAATCAACTACAGTAAACAAATAATACAGCATCCAAACAAACAGAACTCCTTGTTTTGTCATTAGCAGTGTGATTTAATACTTTAATACCCAATGCAAAACCGGAAAGAACTACCCAGGCTGAAATTGCACATCCTGTTGATCTATACTTTCCAAACCCAGCACAGTTGCTCCTTACCCCTGAAGTGCAT